ATTGCGGGTTATAATGTGCTCACAATATATACTATCAAATATTCTCCACACCAAAGCGGCACACTTAGATACTTACGCCACATTGGTGGGAACGGTCCAGTCAAACTGCCTGAGATTACATTTTGGCGGCCAATTATCTACGTCCACCGCCTCAAATTGGGTAAGAGATGTTGCCCAAGCTAATATGGGTGATACTGAATGTACAGCTTCCATCCCTCTTTGTCCTTCCTACAATACTGTTCTATGTCAGTGTACGTATAAGGGGTGCATGCGTAGCATGGAAATGATTAAACCAAGCCCAATAACCTGTATATAATGCGACACACTCCTCCTACATCAGATACTGTGAACACCGCGAAGAAGTAAATACAGTGGAGATGGTGCTGTTTAGACCAAGGTCTCTACCAAGATGCATCCCCTGCACACTGTGCGCCACAGGAAAGGACTCAAAGAAGTGTGTCCTGAGTGTTCATGACTTCATGTGGACAATTAGGCGTTCCTGCATCCCGACCAATCACATTGCTCAGATTATGGTTTTCTTTTTCACACATCAGAGTACATAACATCACCTACGAGACCTCAGACCAGAAAAGTAAAACCCAAAAAGCCTAAATTAAACACAAAGACTAAAAGTTCAAGACTCAAGAGGCCTGTCACAGTGCCAATGTGAGTCTGTGACACTACATATATATATTTTTTAAAATAGTTGGACTGCCGCGTATTTATATATTTGTTTTATATTTTTTAAAACATAACAAGAAACCAAAAAAGTGTTTTTATAGAGAATGAAAAGTGAAAAGTGAAAGTATTTTATTTAGGTGAAATATGAGGAGAACGTCAGACCCAAGAGAGACCTAAAACACTTGGTCAGAACGGTGTGTAATTCAGGTGGCTATGGGAACGGACGAGTGCATAGGCCTCGGTTCACTTTGAAATATTTAATGCGTCTCGCTGCTCGCACTTATCATGTCTAAAATTCCATCGAAGTGTGTCCGCAAGCGGAGACAAAGTGACAAACTAAGTACAATAAACAAATACAAAAGTATTGCAATAAGGCGACATTTCGTCAGGGAAGCGCCTGACGCCCTATGTTGCTTTTGCTCCTCGATTGTTCCAATACAATACACCTTGGTCAATATATTCACTGAAGCCTTGAATGTGTGGTATCTGGGTATTCAGTGGTGAGTTCTTCAAGCATCATAGCTGTCTTTTTTGAAGCATGGTTACGATTGAACAAGCGAATAGTGATTCTATTTAGCTAATTTTAGAACAAATTGACAAACTTCGCCGAATATCTGCTAATTTGGAGCGGCGCTCGCTTGCATTATTTTCAAGTAGTAGGTTATAAATTAAACGAAGCCTATATTGACGACGAATAGTGATTTTTGAAACTATAGCTGGTCGTGTCTTTGTCTTCAACGCATAATATGGGCGAGACTGGAACTGTACCAGTGCAAAGCCGTCACTCTGCATGGCGACGTTGCAAGTTGTAGCTGTTGTACGACAGAGAGCAAGATTTATGAGGCGTGAGTTACCACCTTCTACAAAAATGGTCAATGACGTGCCCAAGCAGTCGTACACCTTTGCAGACAGTCAGATGAAGATTTTGTTTGACTTATTATGACGCACGTCGCTGGCGAACCTGTCTTTATTTTGCACCACTTTGACTCGTTTGGATTCCTCTTTGTTTTTCTTTAAGACGAGTTAGATTTGCAAAATGTCTATGAATAACAGTACAGCACAGTGGCGTATATATTACGATCAACATTATATAGTATATCATATTCTGCGGTTAATGGTTGACCCACACCGCGGATACGTCACTATTAGGAAATATTTGCGCACAATCTTTTTTAGCAACACACCATAAAATCGAGCAACCATAGACTTGCAACACGGAGAGTGTTGCATAAACGTAGAACTAAGATTTATATGGAGACGCCCTTACCCTCTGATTTGTGACTTTTATTTAGCTTAGATCCACATTGCGAGTCAATATCAAGAGCACTTCGGCTTTCGCATCTGGGCTAGTTTCATTGTTATTGGGCCTACTGTGTCTTTCAGACTGCCAACAACCCTGGTGCGGAATTCCTTTCCATTGACTCACAACACACTCACAGAGGGGACTTCATGTCTTTAGATTTATGCATTTAAAAAAAGCTTTTGTACATTCTATTGCTGGTAAATTTGTAGTATACATAGCTGTAGATCCACATATCCCGAGTTCATATCAGAATGTCCGGCTTTCACAATGTGTTGGCTTCATTGCCATTGGTGTATAGAACCATTTTATAGTATTGTTATCACCTTCTCTGTGTCTTCTAACAGACATTCAGTCTTGGCGCGGAATACTTTTATAGATGATTCCCGTCTGCGCAATGAAAACCAGCGCTGAAAGCCGCTTTCCTAAGGAATTCTCAACTTCTGGAGTATTTAGTATAGTAATATAAACACTTACATTCACAGTACGAACTCTCTCTATTAGAGGAGCTGCAACCATTACTAATAAATATGACAATAGCATTCTTTTCGCACCTAGCGCTTTCCGACAGTGCGCAGAGCACAGTCTTAATACTTTTATTCAACACGTGCGAGCAGCGAGACTGTGAGCTATTCCTTCAAAAGTTTAATCTGTGGCATTTCACACAAAAAAATTGTATCCATTTTGAGAATTTAGAAGTATAGTAATAGCTGTACTGACTACAGAGAGTACACAGTGAAAGAGATTGAAGTTTTTGTCTATTTATCGGGCATCAGGCAGGAGTGGTGACTCGTCAGTGGTGGTGAGTTGGTGACCCCTCACCCCTGGGCCCTGGCCCTGGACCCTGTAGTCCTGGAGACGTGGACCCTGGTCATAGTCTATTGAGGCTATTTTTTAACACCAAATATATATATATATATATTTACTGAATACATACTCTAAAACAGTAAAACCTCGACGGGTCGAACAGCAATTTCTCTTTATAAATTAAAACAAATTGACGCCAGAGCCCAGAGGGCCGCGAAAAAACTGTCTCTTTGTATTTTTTAAAAAAGTTATTATTTGGGTTCTATTGGTCTACACAACATACAACCAATGGATATCAAGGTGTGCAGCTTCTCTAGTTTTGAGGCCTATGTGATATCCAATGATATATAAATTTATCGAGCCTATTGTTAGGAACAAATCAAATAAAGCGAACAAATTTTATGTATCAACAGTAAAATTATTCCCGGTAACGAGTTTTATCAATTTTAAATAATTAAAAGGGTGTCAAATGCAGAATAATCGGCAAAATAAATAGTCAATACCTGAATAAATTGGAATTTTTAAGTACTATTTCGGTATTTCTATACTATTTTGGCTTTGTACCATTTTAAGTTTGGCTTTGGAGTTTTCGCGCCTATCATGAATGTTGAAATGATTTTACGAGACTCCAAAATCATTTCGAGGGTCCGACATTCCAACTACGATATCTTTCTATTCATTTTCTGACCAATGAAGAGGTGCGTTGCTGTTGTCGATAGCCATCTGTGTCACTGTTACATTCTGTCTCACTCACAGTCACTCTGTCAGAAGCTGCGTCTGTCGGCCGTTCGGCCCGTCGCCCGTCGGCACGTCCAAACTCCAAACACCAGAAAGTGACTACCAGGTACCGGCCACCAAGGCCCAAGGCCCCAAGCTGTGGCCCAGTTTTACCAAAATAGATTTTATCAGATAATTGCGAAAGAGGTTTTTAGTGGTAACGAGCGCCAGTGCTGCTATGATCAAAAGATTTTTATTTTTAGAATTAAAAATATAAATACAGATTTATCTCTCGCAAAAGTGTCATCACTTGTCAAAACCTCGCAAGTATTCGATCCCCTCGGCGTTTCAGACTTTCAGTGTCACTAGTGGCTAAAAAGAGACGAAGAGAAGCTCTGATATGTACTGAAATGGAGAGGAGTACAAACTACGAAAGCTATCTCGGATCCCTTTATAAGCGACCCCAACTACAACTTCATCATTATACTTTCACAAGTAGACAGTAATACTCAACGCTTAGACCACACTTAACTGGAAAAGCCTGATTATTCATACAGCATGTCTTTCGCTCAAGCACCACCCCCCGGATTGGAATCCGTCAACACGAACGGCACCATTCGCCCTCCCCCTGGCTTGGGCTTCTCTGCTGAATCTCTACCACCAAACAAGCGTTGGGTACACTCTCGAAGTGAGGCTGGAGCCAACCCACTTTCCACTCTAACCTACGACTACAAGATTAAGGACTTTCTCAACAAGGGAGCCAGCGCCAATGTATACCTCGCCCAGAGAGTGCCTGTCCATGGGCCTTCGTATAGCAGAGTCATCGAGATGGTGGCTTTGAAGCAGATCGAAAAAACCAGCAAGAACATCCGTCTAACCCGCAACGAGGTCGAACTACACAGCAGTGTACACCATGAGAATATCGTCGACTTCAAGCAGTACTTCGAAACCACTGAGCACTATGTATGCGTCCAAGAACTGATGAGAAGCGATATGTTTGAGTTTCTGACAGCCCCCAAGCAAGAGATTAAGACGGACGAGGATATCCTGGAGATTGTTAAGGATGTGATAAAGGGATTGAACTACATGCACTCAGAGGGTATTGCCCACAGAGACGTCAAGCTTGAAAACATTGGCATCAGCTACCAGAAGGTCAACCGCACACTAATTTGCAACTCGGATGAAGAGAACGAAGACGATTCGAAACGGACCCAGGCCAAGCTTATGGACCTTGGTTTGTCTATCCGCCTTAGACCAGGCATGCTAGTCAGGGATGGAGTGCCAGGTACAGTTGAATATGCAGCACCAGAGTTGGTTGGGAACGTAGATGATCTAGACCTATCTTATGATCACAATAGCAACCCCCACGAACACGCCTTTGCCAAGGCCGACATGTGGGCTGTGGGTATTCTGCTCTATCTACTAGTATCTAACAAGACCAACTGCCAGTTCCCCTGGGCTCGTGCACACACTTCGGATAAGTCTTACAGAGGTTTCCTGCGCGGAAGCAACAGGTGTTTCGATGCCATCGACGAGTCACAACCCGTATACAGAGCACTATTCGACGGACTGTTGAATCCAGATTCCAAGGCACGTTTGACCTCTGCGGAGGCTCTAGAGATCATTGAGCTGCACACTCGCAGACGTGCCGTGCCGAGTGTGATGCACCGACTCACAGCAATGGCCAAGAGGTCCAACTACAAGTATGTGATCTCAGCACCCCGAAAGGTGGTCACTGAGGTGCGCCAGAAGCGCAAGAATGAGAGCTCCACCTACACCTCTACTGCGAAGAAGCAGAAGGCCACCCACACAGTGGCCCACATAGTCCACACAGTGGTATCCCGTCCGCAGCTGGTGTCTTGGGCCACAGACTTGAGCTCAGAGTCTGTGGGTGACAACCCCAACACCTCCGAAGGGCGACGGTTGAGTATTGAACTCCGGTGCACGGACAGCACGGACAGCACGGACATAAGTGGAGGAGAGGGATCAACCTCAGATGAAGATATCATCACACACACGTCGACCTCGGCTAAGAAGGACCTGCGATGTGTACATCCGCCTCTTGCACTGCCACTGAAGAGAGCGGAGCATGAATGCAGCTCTGAGAGTTACACTCCCAGAACGACAGTGGAATTTGAAGTACAGACATTCCAGGCTACTGAGTCGGCCACACCAACTCAGACGCGCAACGAAAGCAAGTATAGGTTCTACTAGCTATGTACACTACGTACACTACATCTATGGGCGTATACATCCCGCGAACAAATAGTATAAGACTTAAGAAATATTATAAGCCCCGGAGTTGTGCTTCGCGAGGGCGTGCGGAAAGGGAAAAGGAAAAGGTAATAGGAATAGGGAATGTAGATAAATATAGATATTGAGTTGAACTCTATCTGAAATGTAAAAACATCCGCCGATATAGACAGTCGGCGAAGGACTCGAAAAAATAAAAGAGAAAAAACCAAACAAGCCTTGAATTCAACAGTTTCACTTTGCGCGATCATCGATACTCTTGCATGCTTTTTTGAAAGTGTAATGATTGATGCCCATGAACATTTACCAAGAGTATTCTTTTGTATATTTATCAAATGCGACCTTGTGTATGTTTATTAAGTGCAATCTTTTGTATGTTTATTGAGTGTATAGTCTTATGTATATTTATTATGTGTAATCATACGTATGTTTACTAAGTGTGATCTTATGTATGTTTTTATTAAGTGTGATCTTATGTATGTTTATTAAGTATATTCTATGTATGTTTACTAAGTTTAATCGTATGTATTCGTATCAAGTGTAATCTTTGTATGTTTATTAAGTGTAATCGTATGTATGTGTGTGATTACTAATTTTAATCTTACGTATGTTTATTAAGTGTAATCTTATATATGCATATTTATTGCAGTCTTATGTATGCTTATTGAGTGTAATCTTATGTATGTTTATTAAGTGTACTCTTACATATATTTACTATGTGCAATCGTGTGTATGTTTATTGAGTGTATTCTATTATATGTTTATTAAGTGTATTCTTATGTATGTTTACTAAGTGCAATCTTATGTATGTTTACTAAGTTTAATCTTATGTATGTGTATCAAGTGTAATCTTATATATGTTGTTAAGTGTAATCTTACGGATGTTTATTAAGTGTAATCTCACATATGTTTATCAAGTGTAATCGTATGTATGTTTATTAAGTGTAGTCTTATGTATGCTTGTTAAGTGTAATCTTTTGTATGTTTCATTTAGTGTATTATAATATACTTTTTTTTAGTGTATTCTTATGTATGTTTATTGAGTGTAATCGTATGTATGTTAATTACATGTAATCTTATGTATGTTTTTTGAGTGTATTCTTATGTATGTTTATTAAGTGTAATCTTATGTATGCTTATTAAATGTAGTCTGAAGCATGTTGATCAAGTGTAATCTTAGACACCCTTGCATCATTATTAACCACTTCCTTAGCAACCACTACAAAGTCTCTGCCTTGGCGTAGTCCTATTGTCCGCAGCAGATTGACACCAAGCTCCCTATCCGTTTGAGCACATCCTTTAAGCCCAACCGCACACTCCCATCAGTGGTGTCGATGCAGTCGACCAGCCGAGGATATAGTACCTCGAATAAGGCTTGTTCATGCTGTCTGTGTGGATGGTATGGTAAGATGTCAAAGGTGAGATGGTGTGCAGATACAAGTAGGTATAAAATAGGGAGGTATCATATGTATTCATAATACAAACATTCAAATGTACTATACTTATGCACAGTATAAATATTTATATGTAGTATACGTATGCACATAAGCCTTCATGTTATCATACATTAGTATACGTATGCACTTAAGCCTTCATGTTATCATACATAGTCACATTATAAACCACCATGGGTATATCATGCGTATCCACATTCTAAACCTTCATATGTATCATACGTATTCACAATATAAAATTCATATGTACTATACAAATTCACAAGACTAACATTCATATGTATCATAAGTATTCACAATATAAACCGTCATATGTATCATACGTATTCAAATTATATACCGTCATATGTATCATACGTATTCACACTGTTAACCTGCATACGTAATACGTATCATACGTATTCACATCATAAACCGTCCTGTATCACACTATAAACCCACATATGATACACACCATATTCAAGAGCTTATGCCAACCAATACACAAACATCATAGGCATATACGTTCCCCAAATACCTTGTCTCAATTGCACACTCATCATCCAAGCTGTTATCGCTACCAGCTCTCTTTCTCCTCTTATCAATCAGTGAGTCTACCAGACACCCCACCGATTGCAACACGAAGCACACCTCAGACATCTTAGACCTGTACGAAATGAGTGCACGCGACGGGTGGACGTAAATGAGAGAGATAGAGAGCACTTTATATTCATCGATATGGAAATGATACGTAAACGAGAGACAATTGTATACTAACCGATAGATATAGAATTATATATTCATCGATATGGAATATGTTACTCGATAGTATTATGTATTAATCGGTATAGTATTTTATTTTAATCGATATAGTGTTTTATATTAATCGATAAAGTATTTAATTTTAACCGAATTATTATTTTATATCAATCGATATAGTACTGTATACTATTCGATATAGTATTCTATATTAATCAATATTGTATTCTATATTAATCCATAAAGTTTAATTTTAACCGTTTTTAGTATTTTATATTAACCGATACAGAATTTAACACTAATCTTGTTGGAACGAATCCTCTCGACAGCCCACCCATTGCACAATCAAAGTACGAGTGTGGATATACCAGGTCATTTGTGGGTGAGCGTATATGGCTGCACACAGTTCACAGTCACGTGCTACCAGATATAGTTATATGCAAAGTACAGATAAATTCAAATTGGCAAAAAAGATACTAGCCCTTTACCGCGGGATGCTGGACATATTATTTCGCTCTCGATACATTTCAATACAAGCATATGAGGTCATATATACAACTATATATATATATATATATATATATA